TTTTCCCAGCACTATTTGTTGAAAAGACTACTCTTTCCCTCATTGAATTGCCTTGGCATCTTTGCCAATTGACCATAGGTAAGTGGGTTTATTTTTGGAATCTCAATTCTACTTCATTGATCTTTATGTCTATTCTTATACTGGTATGACCCAGCCTTTTTTTTTTTTCTTGCCCTGTCTTACAGTGCTGAATGATCTAGTCTTGATGACTGTAGCTTTGTAGTAAGTTTTGAAATCAGGAAGTGTGAATCTTCCAACTTTGCTTCTATTTTTAAGATTGTTTTGCCTGTTCTGGGTCCCTTTCATTTCTATATAAATTTTAAGATCAGATTGTTAATTTCTGCAAAAAAGACCACTGAAAATTTGATAAGGATTGTAATGAACTTGTGGATCAGTTTGGGGAGCACTGCTGTCTTAACAATATAAGTCTTCCAATCCATGAACATTTGGTGTGCACCAACTTGAACTCTAATTATTATCTAACAAAAAAAGCTAGTTTAGATATCCAAAATTGATGAGACACACTGAGTTAATTGCCAAATGTTTATTTCATTTTTGAGCTATATGGATAAGGTATAGTTTTATTTTGTCAAAGTAGGGGAAAAGAACAAATGGAAAGACATATAAATTCATAGAGCCTATCAGTAATCAGAGAAAGATCTCAATAGGAAAAAGTTACACTTTGTATTATATACTTCTCAAAGATATGTTCCCATTTAAGAAATCTTGCCAGGAACGGTGGCTCACACCTGTAATCCCAGCACTTTGGGAGGCAGAGGTGGGTGGATTGCATGACTTCAGGCATTCAAGACCAGCCTGGGCAACAAGAAGAAACCCTGTCTCTATAGAAAATACAAACATTAGCCAATCGTGGTGGTGCATGACTGTGGTCCCAGCTATTTGGGAGACTGAGGTGGGAGGATTGCTTGAGCCCAGGAGGTTGAGGCCGTAGTGAGCTGAGATCGTGCCACTGCACTCTAGCCTGGGTGACAGAGTGAGACCCTGTCTCAAAGAAAAGAAAGAGAAAGAGAAAGAAAGAAAGAGAGAGAGAGAGAGAGAGAGAGGGAGGGAGAGAGGGAAGGAAGGGAGAAATCTTAATATAATACGTAATAATCTAAGCATCTCTTAATTTGTTTTATGGAACAAAAAAATTATAGGGGTTTTTTTCTTATATAGAGTCTCTTAAAATTTTTTGAATAGCAGAGATAACCTTATTACATGTATAAATCCACTGCTTCTTGACTTAAGAAAACTGAAATCCTCCACTCACCCCACAAATTCTGGTATTTTTACAACAGGGTCAGCAAACCCAGGGACAAACTGTGCTAATTGCTTCTGTGTTTTGTTTTATTGACAAACTTCAATTCTGGCTTCTCTTCCTTAAATGTCAAGCAGTTTGATATTGCATTGTAACAATAACGTTACCATAGAGTGTTTAAGTAAATAACATATAAATAACACTAGTTGCTAGTGGTGACATTAATAATTACAGGAATAGAATGAGAGCAGACTGTTGTGTAGTAATGACCCCTAGAATAGACTGAGTTCCTTGGCAGTGTTAAGAATTTGTCATGTTAGTGGTCAAGGTGTTGCAATCCATTATCTCACTGAGAATTGATGACTACAGCTATGGTTACTAGCCCTAATATTTAATGCAGCTGCCTTGAGCGACTTGAATGCTTAAAAAAATGGTCTAAGGCATTATGTCAAGAGTTACCCAAGGAAACTGAGGATCTTCGTGTATATATTTTAGGGAAACAAGTACATTTTACTTTCTTGTATAGTTCCTCTGGTTCCTCTCTATAAATAATAGTGACATTTGCACACTGGAAATGAATATTTGTCTATTTGTCAGTCTATCTATCCACCTATTTACCTATCCATCTATGTCTTACCATGTTCAACAAAGTCTCTTTCCTTCAACCCTCCCCTCCCTTTCTCTCCTCTCCCCTCCCCCTCCCTCCCCCTTCCCTTCCTTCTTCCTTCTTCCCTCCCTTCCTTTCTTCTATTAAATCTTTTATTTATTAATTCCGTAATGTTTACTAACTAGCTACTAAGTTCCAGGCACTGTTCCCAGGCACTAGGAACAAGCAATAAATAAAGAGGCCAGGTCCATGCTGTCTTAGAACTTAGCTTCTGGTGAGGAAACAAAGAAAATAAGCAGCTTGTTTTAGATGGTGTTAAGTGCTCTAAGACAACAAAGCAGGGTGATGTGATAGACTGTGGTGTGGGGCTATTTTAGGTAGGAAGATCAAGGAAGGCTTCTCTGAGGAGGTGGCAAGTGAGCTGAGATCTGAATGATGAGAAGGAACCAGGCTTGAGGAGCTACAGAGGCAGAGCCTTACAGAAAGAGGAAACAGCTAGTACAAATATTTGAAGCAGTTTAAAATAATAGTCAATACAACAAAAACATACAAAAAGATAAAAGTAGGAATGAGGGGAAATGAAAGAGAACAGGAGAAAGTTGTGATGCAGATATGCAAACTGTAGTTTGACAAAGTTATTAAAATTGAGTTGCAAATTTGGGTGCTGTCTTCCTAGAAGTCAAGGTGAAAGGGAAATGTGATCAATCTCATGGTCTGCTTTCTTCATAAAGAAAAGTCATGTCAGTGTCTCTAGGGAAAGTATTGTTTTCTGGCACTCAGGATTGAAATATATTTCTTGCATTGACCCTCTTAAACAGGGCATATAGGTGATTACATTAGTGTGGTAGGCCCCTCCTCCCAACTCCAAAGACTTGGAAATACTATGTGGAATTCAAAGGCAGGAATACAATTCATTTCAGAAAATACCATGACTAGGAATAGAAAGCTGTCAGAACTCTTTTGGTCTCTTCTCTCTGTATATCTTTTTCAACCTTCCTGTTCATTTCTCATTTTCCCCGCAGCCTAGTTTTCTGCATTTCTTTTGGCCACATGGCGGAAAAGTATGTCTGTTGACAGCCTCTGATTTTCTATTTTAAAGATGTTTCTATGTTTCCACATTAGCTTCCTAGAGAAAGACTGAAATCTCTCCATCCTAATTCCAAATTCCTGGGAGAGAGGGATATGATTGCCTTATCTTGAGTCAGGTCCCTACTATTGGAGCAATCAACTGTAGCCAGGTGGCCTGGTTACCTTGTCTGAGGATCCAGGGCTAGTTTCCAGAAAAAGACATCTGGTTATACTGCTGTTTTTAAAATGCAACTTGCATTGAAGGTCAAGAAACCATCAGTGGGTAGACACTAGTCTTCAAAAGAGATTAAAAGTATCAGGGTGCATAGCATGTGATGCAGGTAATGTTTTATAAAACTTGTTTCAGCTATTAAATATATGAATACATGTGTATTGAGTGATAATGTAAAACATATTTATTTTGATGGATTGTGCTCAAAAAAGTTTGAAAAGCTCTGGACTAGACAAGCTGGTAGGATTCTGCTATAGAGATGTAATAAACAACATTCTTCAAGTAATCCCTCTAGTAAATGTAGAGGTATCATGAATATTTTTTAAACAGCATCTCTTAATATAAGCAAATGGCATAGTGCTAAACATGACTTGGTGCAGGCAATGTTGCAATGGTGAAGACGAAGTGGTACAAACATACAGTTTTTTGATGGTCTGGTTTAATCCAGGGCAAAACATAGTCCAGTGGTTGTTTTTGCTTTTAGAGTCAGGGCTGGCTATCACCCAGGCTGGAACCTGTCAATATGTTACCATATATACAAAGGGCACTTTACAGATGTGATTAATGCCCTTAAGATGGGGGAGGCTATCCTAGGAGATCTTTTTTAATCTCCTAGAGGCTAGTACCTAGTAGTACGTCATTATATGGTAGGTTTCTTGCAGCCCTTTGGTGGCCAGGTAGTTCTGAATTTTGTAGAGACGGGGATCTCCCAGTGTTACCCAGGCTGGTCTTGAAGTTCTGGGTTCTAGCAATCCTCCTGCCTTGGCCTCCCAAAGTACTGAGATTATCGGTGTGATCCACTGTGCCCGGCCTAGTCCAGTGGTTTGAAGTTTGAAGTTTGAAGTTACCAGTCACCCATTATGACCATTTTGAGTTTTTTGATGAAAAGGACTGGATGAACTAGTTGCCAAATGTACCCTCCCCGCAAGCAATACAATGAATCCACCTGCCGTGGTATCAAGTTACTTGCTACCAATCAGTCTAATTTTAGAAAACATCTGCCTCAAATAACTAGGCTAGTATTAGGAGAGTTGAATTTCTTTCCCACAGCTGCTAAAGAGTAGGACCTAGGACCACAGAAGCCATTCCTAGTTCAGGCCAATAAATGCATTAGCATACAGCTGGACCCTCTGTTGCATGGGGCAGGCATTCAGATGGTTCTTATAGGTTTGTAGCTAAAACATATCCCTGAGAATTGTCATTTGATCTGTCAGTCTTCTCAGCCCCTGCCTGGGGACAAACACCCTCCCCCCAGCATTTTCCCGTCTTTTTAGGCCAGCTCCCCACCCACTGCAGTTCAAGGCTTGCAGCCCTAGCTCCAACGGGCTGGGGGTTGAGGGCTTGACCCCGAGCGAGAAGAGTGGCCTGAGCATCAATCACCTCAGTACTGTGATATTCCTACTACAAAGCTTTCTTTTACGTAACATATGGCTGCTCCTCTGTGCCCCAGACGGGATATTAGGTCCGTTTCTAAGGGGAGCTGCCCTTGGGCGCGCCTGGGGCTGCACTCGGGGCACGTGGGCGCCGTTGTGCAGCCGGCACCTCTGGGCCAGCCCCGCGGCTTGGAGAAGGGGCTTTGCACCCGCCGCCGCTCTTTGTCCCCGCGCGGCCCCCGTCCACCGGCCTGCGGCTGTTCTGCGGGCCGAAAAGTTTCTCCCGGTGCAGAATTCTGGGCTCAGCGACAGCCTGCGCCAAGTGTGCGCACCTGTAGGAGACCCGCCCGTCCGCCGGCCGCGGTGAGTGGTCCCTGGAGTCACAGCTCAGGGCGGGCCCGCGGGATGGGGCGGGTGGCCCGGGGCGCAGCCGGCCCAGGCCGTTGCTATGGCAACGTAGTGGGCAAACGGGCCTCTGGGTCTCTCGCTGCCGGTCGGCTGGCGACCCCCCAGCGGAGGGACCGGGCTGAACCCGCGGACCCCTCCGAGTGTCTCCCGGGACCCAGCCGTTGGGACCCCATTTCCCCCGGGTCCGGTATTTGGGGTGGTCTCTGTCTGCCCCGGTTCATCTCCACCGTCTCACCTCCACCCCATCTTGGGACGTGAAACTTTTTGAAAGTATAAAGCGAACTTACTGTAGGGTAAGTGTGTGCGAAACATCCTTAGAACTTCTGAAGTTGTGTTTCTTTCTTTTTTTAAATCTCCTAGAGCCTGGTACCTAGTAGGACCTCATTATATGGTAGGTTTCTTGTTGCCCTTAAGATAGTCTCTTACACCTAGAGGATGCACATAGGAGATGATAGGATGACATAAAGCAGCCCCATACTGGCTGTGTGGACAGGTAATTTAAGCACTCTCCCTCAGCTTCCTAAATGTAGACTATAATTTCTCATAAGGTTGTGGGTTTCAGTGAACCTATATGTGAAGCTCTTTTGTGAACCGTACATGTAAAAAGCACTTGAGCATTAGTTGTAAGGGATATTTGCATGCTAAAAGTGGTCTGGTGCTCCCCGTCCCATATCACCAGCTAAGGAGGACCTTCTTTTTTGACCACCAAATGACTCCAATATCCAACCAGAAAATAGGATGGTCCTGCCTTGGAAGAGGGCTCTGTGAATGGAAAGGAACATCAGCAAGTTTTGAACCTAAACTCTTTCCTTGTTCTCCAGGTCCATGCCTTTAGACTGTGATGGATATGCAGATATATCGCACATTTAAATTTTTAGCTCGTGTAAATCTCAGTTGCACTCTCAATGAGTCATACCAACCTCTATCTAGTTTGCAAATCAGAAATCTTGGCCTCATCCTTGATACCTCGTACTTTCTTCCTTTCCATATCTAAACAATCGTCAAGTTCTATTCATTTTATCTATCTTCAAACCAAATCTCAAATCTATCTGAGTATCTGTGTCTCTGCTACTATCACCCTAGACCAGTCTACCATTATCTGTTGTCCAGTAGTAGCCTCTAAACTAATCTAAAGGTATTTACCCTTTCCTTTCAATATTCCCATCCATTCTTTGCCCTGCAGCAGCAGTAGTGTTTTAACAACTAAAGTTTGATTATGCTACCTCCCCCCCTCCTCTAGCTCAAAATCCATCATGGCTTCTGGTTATTCTTAGGATGAAGACAAAACTCTTAATGTGGCCTAGAAGTTGGGTGACCATGTCCATGACCATTCAGACCAAGATATTTTTTGAGAGTAATAGAAAGTACCAGCCTGACCAACATGGTGAAACCCTGTCTCTACTAAAAAATACAAAAATTAGCTGGGTATGGTGGTGCATGCCTGTAATCCCAGCTTCCCAGGAGGCTGAGGCAGGTCTGAGAATCGCTTGAACCCAGGAGGCAGAGGTTGCAGTGAGCCGAGATCATGCCACTGCACTCCAGCTTGGGCAACAGAGTGAGACTTTGTCTCAAAAAAAAAAAAAAAGTTATTATTTATACTAGGACAAAAGGTCTAACCTGGGTCTCTGTCAGGCAAACTGAGGCAAATGGTTATTCTACATTGGCTTCTTTTCAGACTTTTGTGCCATTTTCCCTCCTACACAGGGCTGTTGCATATGATAGTCTCCCTGCCAGATGTGCTCTTCCTTCTTCTCTTCTAACTCTTATTCACATCTCAGATCAAATATTTCCTCAGGAAAACTGCTTCTGACTGTCTAGGACAAACCTGCTTAACATAGGTTCTTCTGACACCAGTGATTTCTCCTTAGTAGCACTTAATCACAATCGCAATTTAAAATTTGTCTGTGTAAATACTTGAATGATAAGCATTTTCCTATGTCATTAAACAGTCTCTGAAAATATCACATAGTGGTTAGGAGCACAGGCGGACAGCTTAGATCTGAATCCCAGCTCTGTCACAATTCCTTATCTGAAACCTTATGATGCTAGTTGTGTTTTAAAATTCAGAATTTTCACTTTATCGGAAGATGACATGGTATAGACCCTATATCATGTCTAGTGGGATCTGGGGCAGCACCTTGTAATCAAACACATTAACTTCTTTAGTAAAATGAATTCGCTCTAAGTAGGACAGAAATAATACATTGTTTCATTGTCAGTTTAGATCTCATTTTGCAAATGAGTTTGCCACAGGTTTATGAAAACACTTGACTCTTGTTGGAGCCCTAGGTGGGAGGATCGCTTGAGGCTAAGAGTTTGATACCAGCTTGGGTAGCATAATAAGACCCATCTCTACAAATTTTTAAAAAATTAGCCGGGCGTGGTGGTGTGCATCTATGGTCCCAGCTACTCCGAAGGCTGAGGTGGGAGGATCTCTTGAGCCCCAGAGCAAACCCCAGGCTGCAGTGAGCTATGATTGCACCACTGCAGTCCAGTCTGGGTGACAGAGTGAGACCCTATCTCTGAAAAAAAGGAAAAAAAAAAAAAAAAAAAAAGAAAACACTTGATTTTCTGAGATTTTTGGGTTTTAGAATTTCAGATGAGGATGAGAATTTCAGATGTGATTCTGCTTTAGTGTAACCTTGAGTCCATCATTTAACTCCTCTGGCCTCAGATTCCTCAACTGTAAAATGGAGATGATACTAGTACCTGCCTATGTCACAGGCTCCATGTCGTGCTGTTTTGAGAAGTAAATGAGTTAGTACATGTTAACTGTGTAGAACAGGGAATGGTCCTTCGTCAGTACTATAAAAAGGTCAGTTCTCATATCATTTTTATTAGCTCAGTAATAACCCACACTATGGATGAAACATAATTTATTTGCAATTTACTTATTGTTGAATATTTAGACTTCAGGTACAAAATGTAATAATGGATGTCTTTACACTTAAATCTTTTTGCTACATTTTTGATTACTTCAGGTCAGTTCCTAGGCTGGGCATGGGGACGCATGCATCTAAAACAAGCACTTTTGGAGGCTGAGGTGGGAGGATCACTGAGGCCAGGAGTTTGAGACCAGTCTGGGCAACATAGCAAGACCCTATCTCTAAAAAAATAAAAAAATTAGCCAGGTGTGGTGGCATGCACCTGTAGCCAGCCCCTAATGCTCAGGAGGCTGAAGTGGGAGGATCTCTTTGACCCAGGAATTCAAGGCTGCAGTGAACTTGCCACTGCATTCCAGCCTGGGCAATGGAGTGAGACCCTGTCTCAAAAAAAAAAAAATCAGTTCCCAAAAATGAAATTATAGGGAGGTCAAAGGGCAGGGACATTGTGAATGCTCTCAAAACATCGAAACATTGCCATACTGTTTTTCAGAAAGATTATGCCAATTTACATTGCCACCGTCAGTTTTATGACACCCATATTAGCATTATTATTTTAAAAACTTTGCTAATTTCACAGATAAAAATGGCACCTCCTGGCCGGGCGTGGTAGCTCACACCTGTAATCCCAACACTCTGGGAGGTCGAGGTGGGCAGATCACAAGGTCAGGAGATCAAGACCATCCTGGCTAACGCGGTGAAACCCCGTCTCTACTAAAAATACAAAAAATTAGCTGGGCGTGTTGTGGGCACCTATAGTGCCAGCTGCTTGGGAGGCTGAGGCAGGAGAATGGCGTGAACCCGGGAGGCGGAGCTTGTAGTGAGCCGAGATCGCACCGCTGCACTCCATCCTGGGTGACAGAGTGAGACTCCATCTCAAAAAAAAAAAAAAAAAAAAAAAAAAAATTAAGTAAATAAAATAAAATGGCACCTCCTTATTTTAACTCACATCTGTCATTATTAATGTGTTTTAAGTGTTAATAAATCTTATTGTTAGCTATTGGCTATTTCTTTTTTGTGAATTGCCTACAAAAGCTTTTTGATGGTTTTTGTGTTAGAGTCTTAGTTTTTTCTTATCAATTGTTTGATTTTTATCTTCCCCAGCCCAGGCAGGAGCCACTATTCTGGGCTTTGGCTGGAATTAGTTGGATAAATTATCCCTGGAGCATGGGGCGAGTTGTTACTTGCGTGTAGGCTACATGGCAAGGTAGAAAACTGTTTCAGAGGCTGTTTCTTGGGGGAAAAATCTGGAATCAAGACCGGGGTGATTGCTTGTTTATCTGAACTTTGAGTCAAACAGGGCTTGGAAGAAAGAGAGCATCCAGGTAGGAGGCAAAAACCGAGACAGATAAGGAAAGGCAGAGTAGTTTTCAAAGCTGGAGGAGAGAAGCTGCAATCTCTTTTTTTTGCGGAGACATTGCAGTTTCCTGTATGGAGGACGAGGGAATGCTGGGGGCCCTGTCTTGGCCACGCACTGAACCATGTGAACTCTTGATATAATGAGGATATTAACCCTTCGATGTGGGGCATTTTCCCCACAATTGCCTTTTCATTTATGAAGGCTTATGATTTATAGAAATTAAAACAATTTTATGTTGTCTGCCTGTTAATCTTTTCCTTTATGATCCATTGCTTTTATTCTTAGAAAGTCCTTCCCATGAAGAGAACAGCTACCTATCTGCATTTTCTTTAAAAATGTTATTTTGTAATGTCAGCAAATCAAGAGGTAAAATAAGTACAAGAAAGCTGAGTAGTGTGATGTCCAATAAAAAACCTAAAAGAGGATGATACAAAGGTGGGTACTTGTGTCTTCCTCATGTGTCCTTCAATCAAGGACTAGAAAAGAGCTTATACTGCTTGCTGTAAGGGAGATTTAGGAAGGCTGTTTCTGATAGTTGTTTGAACTGATGGCTGTTTCAACCATTGACTTATCTGTCACACATTGTAGAAGCTTATCCTTAGAGACTTACAGAAGAAGTATCCTTCTGAAAGAGAAGATGTGTTCTCTGGAGCTATTTTCTACTTTTATTCATCTGGTGATACTGTATAGTACTTCAAACACCTCTAGTTGTTAAATACTGAGAAATAACTTCCCTGTTTTCAAAAAGAGGCTTACAAAATGGAAAATGCAATATAAAATTAATTGCTGACTTTTTTTGGCGTTGTTAAATTGGTATGCCTTAAGATGCGATTCAGAAAGAATTTCCTTTCCTGCTAAACTCCACTATATATGAGTGAGGCTAATTGTGTTTTGTTTATCTTAGAGCTCTAGAATATGAAGAATGGACATCCTATTGTTAAGCTTTGTTAATATATATTTTATTAGTTTATTAACTAAAATACATTGTAGAGTGCATAAGAAATGACTAACCTCACAAATCCCACAGTTTTATTGACCTGAAGTTGTTTTA